TGGTCATGCTCGCCTTCGTGGCCGACTCGAGCCTCCGCACCCAGAACAACTTCTTCCTGCTCAACCTCGCCATTTCCGACTTCCTCGTGGGTAAAGCCCCCGCGCGCTCGCCCGCAGGACCTGGGCCCGAGCCGCCTGGGGGCCTCCCGTGTGGCACGCGGCCTGCCGGTGACCCGGCTGGAAAGGGGTGTCCTGGACCCGCCAGCAGGGCCTAGGCTGCGCTCCTCGCCGCCCAGCCGCAGGATGGGCGCTGGAGGGTGTCCCCAGGGAAGGGCTGGCGCCGGGGACGCTCCGCGAGGAGCAGGGCGCAGCGGCGGCGGCAGGTGCAGCGCTGGCTCTGCGCCGCCGCCAAACAAAGGCTGCTGAGACTCAGGACGCTCGGAGGACGGGGGTGGGGGGGGGGGGGGGGGCTGGGAAGGTCTGGGGGAAGGGACACAGAAAAGGGGTTCTCTGAGCTGTGTTGGGGGAGGCGGCCGCGGGAGAGGCGGGGGTTCTGGGAGCAGCGCTCGCTCTCACGTGTCTGCTCTGCTGCCGGCTGGGGGGCGGGGCGCGGAGGGGGCCGAGAGCCAGACACCTGTTGGGGCTGAGGTGCGTCTCGCCGACGCTCGCTCGCAGTTAGGAGGCGCGGAGAGAGGCTTGGCGGCGGGAGCGGCCAGTGTGGTGGCAACCGAGAGCCCTGGCCCCGGGGAAGGGCTTGCTGGAGTCCGAGCTGTCAGGCCAGGCTGGATGGAGCAGGGCCCCAGCGCACAGAAGGACTTTCTGACTGCTTTGCGGGCTGACAGGCAGGCAGAGTGGGTCCAACTCCAGCTCTAGGGCTCACGCAAAGCGCGCCCCGAGCTCCCCGCCTACCTCATGGCCAGGGCCACCGTTAGGAGGGCAACGGTTGAATGGAGACCCGACACAGGGCAGAGGTTTGCCTTGGATCAGGGGTGGGGAGAGGAGGTGCTGCGGCCCCAGAAAGGTGGGGTCACCTGACCCAGGTCGTGTCCAGGCCCCCGTCCAGTATGCCTTCCCTGTCACTCTCCTCAGGTGCCTTCTGCATCCCCCTGTACGTGCCCTACGTGCTGACCGGTCGCTGGACCTTCGGCCGTGGCCTCTGCAAGCTGTGGCTGGTGGTGGATTACCTGCTGTGCACCTCCTCTGTGTTCAACATCGTGCTCATCAGCTATGACCGCTTCCTGTCGGTTACCAGAGCTGTGAGTCCAGAGAGAGGGAGGGATCCACTGGGCGTGGTGCAAGTGATGTTCTGAGACCCAGCGGCTGACCCCCAGTAGCTGTGTGCCGGACCACCAGAGGACTGGTTCTGGACAGACAAGGGCGGGGCTCTGCAGCCTCATACAACCCCTTCCAGCTGGGGGACCTGTCACCTGTCCTGTAGGTCAGGGAGGATGGCAGCAGACCCCCTCGGTGGGATTTGTGCTCACAACTCCTGCCCTGCCCCCCCTGCACACACATAGGCACACATATACACACACATGCACACACATGCGCATGCACACACAGGCACACATGCACATGCACACACAGGCACACATGCACACACACAGGCACACAGGCGCACGCACACACATGCACCAACACATGTGCACATGTGAGCACACAAACGGAAAAACAGACACGCACAGTGCACACAGCGTATGTAGGCACTCGCATGTGTGCACAGAGACACATGCATCATGCACATGCGTACATAGGTATGCCCATGTGTGAAAACACAGCACGTGCAGAGGCACAGGGAGATGTTACATACACACACAGGCAGAACACATGCCCATGCACAAGTACACGCGTGTGCACACACAAAACCCAGGAGCACAGGCAGAGGTGCACCTTTCTGAGGGTGATTAGCAGGAGTTAGGTGGTAGGTCACCTGCATTCTCAGTGGCCACGTGCTGGGCATAGCGGGGCAAGCCCGGAGCAGAGGCCTCCTTTCTAGTGGTCACCTCTGTTCCAAGGGGCCAAGTTCCTTGCTGGCATCAAGGTGCTATGTGACAGAGCACACAGAGGGCACAGAGAGGATGTGGAGGCTTGGCTGCAGCCCGGCTCTACCCTCCTGAGTTGTACAGGGGGTACTCCACCTCCCTCATTGCCTTCAGGAAAACTGGGATAACGCTGGCCTCACTGTGCAGGTTAAATGAGATCACGTCCAGAGTGCTCATGTCCCCCTCCCCTCAACGTGGAGGGCTCTGCTGACGCCTCCTGGCCTACAAGAGGCAAGTGTGCACGCCAGTGTCCTCCCTGCCAGAGCTTTCGCTGTCGACACCTGAGGGCATCGGTGTCCTGTGTCTGCCCAGGTCCTGGGAAGGGCTTGTTGGCACCACCCAGTCCTGCTCCCCTCCAGCTGGGCAGTGTGACTTGGGGATACTTTGAGTGTAGGGAGTAGAGGGGCTTCACTCAGGAACAGGCCTGCACTGGCTTCTCCCCACCCTGTTCCCCAGATCCTTGTACACAGGCCTGGGCTGGGCGCTCCCAGAAGACGGCTCTGGCCTCTGCACGCCCTGCTCATGTGTGGGGTCCAGGTGCTTTGTTTCCTGTGTGATCCAGGCAGAGCGGGGCCAGCAGTGAAGCAACGCAGGGCATCAGCAGGCAGGGGGCACAGACAGGACTTGAGAGGGTCTGGAGGAGGCATACTGATGCCATAAGATCCTGGGCACAGCCGCCCTGTACTGCCCCTCCCCCGCTGCAGGTGTCGTACCGGGCCCAGCAGGGGGACACGCGGCGGGCAGTGAGGAAGATGGTGATGGTGTGGGTGCTTGCCTTCCTGCTGTACGGGCCGGCCATCCTGAGCTGGGAGTACCTGTCCGGGGGCAGCTCCATCCCGGAGGGCCACTGCTACGCTGAGTTCTTCTACAACTGGTACTTTCTGATCACCGCCTCCACGCTCGAGTTCTTCACACCCTTCCTCAGTGTCACCTTCTTCAACCTCAGCATCTACCTGAACATCCAGAGACGCACACGTGTCCGGCTGGATGGGGCCCGGGAGACGTCTGGCCCAGAGCCGCCCCCTGAAGCCCAGGCATCCCCGCCCCCACCCGGCTGCTGGGGCTGCTGGCACAAGGGGCGAGGGGAGGCCCTGCCACTGCACCGCTACGGGGTGGGGGAGGCCGCCCCTGGTGCTGAGGGCGGTGAGGGCACTGGGGGGGGACCGGCGGCTTCCCCCACCTCCAGTTCAGGCAGCTCTTCAAGGGGTGCCGAGAGGCCACGCTCCCTCAAACGGGGCTCCAAGCCTTCGGCGTCCTCAGCGTCACTGGAGAAGCGGATGAAGATGGTGTCACAGGGCATCACGCAACGCTTCCGCCTGTCTCGGGACAAGAAGGTGGCCAAGTCACTGGCCATCATCGTCAGCATCTTTGGGCTCTGCTGGGCCCCTTACACACTGCTAATGATCATCCGTGCCGCCTGCCACGGCCACTGCGTCCCCGACTACTGGTACGAGACGTCCTTCTGGCTGCTGTGGGCCAACTCGGCAGTGAACCCTGTTCTCTACCCGCTGTGCCATTACAGCTTCCGCCGCGCCTTCACCAAGCTGCTCTGCCCCCACAAGCTCAAGATCCAGCCGCATGGCTCCCTGGAGCAGTGCTGGAAGTGACCTCGCCGCCGCCTGGGAGCTGGCCAGGCGAGGCCGCCCACGTGCCAGCGCCCTGGGGCCACCTTCCGGCCATCTGCACTGCAGCGGTGGGTGGGGGAGGAGGGTCCCCACACTGGCTGGACTGCAACGTGGGGGCTGGTGCTGCTGCCCGAGTCCTGGCTCCACGCCCGGAGGGACAGTCCAGGGCTGCCGCCTGCAGTCCGCCTCTGTGGCCAGGCGCTGCTGGTGGTGGGTGCCATGTCATCCATTGCACAAGTACTAGTCAGTCGATGGTGTCGTCCCAACGCAAGTGCTTGCCGTGTGCTCCTGGCCTCCTGACCCAGCAGTTTGTCCCTGCACGCGCACCTGCACACACCCAGGCACATCTGTGCACTGCAGCCACCAGCTCGGGCCCGCCTCTGCTGCTGCCTCGCCCCTGCTTGAGCCCGAGGCCCCCTCATCCCATCCCGCTCCAGTGTCCAGTGGTCCTGGGCGTTTTGCAGCTGTTCTCTGCACTCCCATCCTGGGTGTTTTCAGGAAGATGAAGAAGAAAACACGTCTGTGAACTTGATGTTCCTTGGATGTTTAATCAAGAGAGACAGAACTGCTGGTGCGGGGCTGGATTGGCAGGTGTAGGCTCCCACGCCCGCCTCCCTGTGCTGCTTCCGGCAGAGCTGCGAGCTGCCTGCCCGGCACCTGCCCTTCAGTGAGACCCTACGCCGGCTGACCCAGCCCCTCTCTGCCGGGATATGGGGATTCAGCGGGCTGAGCGGTCAGCTGGTGCCCAGTGCTTGGGCCGAAGCTGAGGGGCCCGGTGTGGGGCAGAGAGACCACCTGCCTGCTCGCTGGCCTCTGCCTGTGTTCTGCATGCTGCCCGGTGCCCACTGCCCTGCCCACCTCAAGGCCACAATAAAGTGGATTCTTTTCATTGGTGCCAAATCCTGAGGCCTCTGTGAGGTGCCGGAGAGACAAGAGTGTGCTCACTGGTGATGGCGTAGGTCTTGGAGTGAGGGGGCTGCAGTGGGGAGGCCTGAATGTTAATGGGGGTGCCCGACCTGCCCTCCTGTACCCTCAGATCCCACAGTGAGGGGCTGCCCTGCACACTGGCCAGGAAGAATGGCACTGACTCACTCGGCCACCAGGGAGCTTTCTGCCTACCACACCACCAGCTCAGACGATAGGTGGGGCCCTCTCAGCCACGGCCTCCAGTGGTGGGAGCACTGGGGTCTCCCCAACGTGGTACGGCCAAGAGGAGTCTCCAAGCGCCCCCTCACCACCCCCCACAGCTCAGGGACACCATGTTCTTACTGTGCTCTCCAAGGAACCCAGCCCCACTACCTGCCTGGAGTCCTGCCTCTCCACAGAGTATCCTACCGACACTGCGGGGAAGGGGGGAAAGCTGTTTACAAAACCTTTTCTGGCAGACTGGCCATGACTTGAGGTCTACATGCCCTTGGGTGTCCACGGTGATGACACTTCTGAGGGCAGGGTGACACTCTGCCCTAAGTCACGGGGCTTTGAACCATCAGCCTTGGGCTGGAAAGCTGAGTACTTTACCCATTACACCACTGAGATGTCTACAGTGTCCACACCATTTAAAAAACAAACAAAACGAGCTCCTCTTCTCTAGACCTTTTCTTGCCCCCACACTTAGCCCCTTTGGGGTCCCAGCCCCCTTGTTCTTCCATGGTCCAACTCTGCCTCTGGGAGCCCATGGGCCCTGTGGTCTAGCGACCCTACTTCTGGACAGGAACCTGCCAGGTAGGACACTCTCCTTGGTGAGTGGGAGGGGTGAGTTGGGGTGACTACACCCCCTGCTTCTCATCCCCACTTGGGGGTGAGCAAGGATGAGGCAGGCAGGAGGGGACAGTGCAGCAAAGATACCAGATGCCTGTATCTACAGAGCGCCAAGGCCAGGGGTCACACCTGGCAGCACCTCCGGGACACCCCAGCTCTGGGCAAGGTCACAGCAGGCAGATTAGCCATCCACTGCCCCTCCTGGCCCCATGCACCTGGCTTGGCCCCTGTGGCTCCCACCCTGTGGCCTGGCTGGGAAGGACAAAGGGCCAGTTCAGCAGCAGTGGGCACATCCATGCCCATTGCACAGCCAGAGCCTCTGCAGCCCTCCGCCCAGTCCTGCTAAATGGCTGTAAATCAGAGGATGAAAGCACAGGCTTTCAAGCAATTTTGCCTTCAATCTCTGGAAACTGCTGCTCCAGGAGCTCCAGTGTGGGCCAGAGGAAGGGAGCGGCAAGGCAGAGTCTGCCGCAGCTTCTCCAGCAAACAAACACTCTCAGGGGGCCAAGGCTGGGCCAGGATCAGGACAAGGGCAGGGCAGAGCTGGGACAGGGGCAGAGGCCGGGAGGAGGTAGGGGCCAGACAGAGGCAGGGCAGGGACAGAGGCTGGGACAAGGTAGGGGCAGGGGCAGGGCAGGGCAGGGACAGGGTAGTGCTGGGATAAGGGCAGGGTTAAGGGCAGGGCTGGATTAGGGGGCAGGGCAGGGCTGCATAGACAAGCATAGAGATGGGGCAGGGCTGGGGCAGGGGAAGAAGCTGGCCCTGGACTGGGGTCAGGGCCCGGGGTCCTTAGTAGGGCTGCAGAGCCACAAGGGAGACAAGGGCTGTGAGGCATGGAGATGGCATCAGCTCATTTATCATCAGACTCACAGAGTCCAGCCTTGGCCAGGACCCTGGAGGGAAGGCTGGGGAGAGGGGCCAGGCCAGGGAGTTGAGGGGAAGGAAGAGTGGAAGTTCAGGGGGCAGGAGTGATGCCACACAGGTCTGGTAGGCTTGCTTTTAAAGGATGGGTGTCAGGGAGGCAGCTTCCAGTTTAAGAAGTGTGTAGTCCAGGAGACCCGCCTGGAAGCAACATTGGTGAGGGTCTAACAGTGGGGGTAGGGTGGGTATGGAGCATCAGAAGAGACACAGAGACTGGGGGCCTTGTGGCTGGGAAGAGGCGAGGTGTCTGAGGAAGGAGACAGTCACGGCATGGGGATTGGCTGGCCACACCCCTTGGGCCACCTACCTATCCTCCTGGGGGCAGGATGCCAGGGCCCACAGACCCAGCAGGGTCCTCCTTGTGGGGCCTCCTGGACAACACCGTTTCCTGGGCCCTGCCAGCTCAGGGGCTATTTTCGTTCTCTGCTTCTTTAACAGAAATGCCACAGGGGGGTGGCTTTAACAGACATTTACTGGCTCACAGTCTGGGAGGCTGAAGTCTAAATTCAGGGTGCCGGCTCTGGAAGGTCTGTCTCTTCCGAGCTTGTGTGGCCTGGCGTCTTCTTACCCGTCCTGCTTCTCTGTTTCCCTGTTTAGTTGCTTTCTGTCTCAAAAGAGACTGACTCCGGCCACACCTCATGTTAGTCCTGCCTCAGTAACGAAGACAGATCCACTCCCAGATGGGGTTACATGCACTCGTGTCAAGTTGGGACCAGGGGGTTTTCAGAGGCAGTAAATCGCATGGGAGGAGGCTGCCCTTCCTATGGAGCAGCTGGTCCTAGAATTTAGGATTTACAACATGTTTGGGGAGTGCACAGTTCAATCTATAAAATTGTATTCTTTGCCCCTAAAAGTTCATATCCTTGCTGCAAGCAAAACACATTCACTGTATCATATCATCCCAGAAGTCTTCAATCCACTGTAACTTTAAAAATCTCATTAAAATTGAATATGAGCAAAATATTAGACACGTTCCATCCTGGAGCAAAATTCCACTTCATCTATGACCCTGATCGGTCTAGGTAATGGGTTCTATGTGTCCACGGTTGAATGGTGGGACAGGTACAAGGGGAAAGAGGGGTAACGGGGGTGGCTACCAAGCCAGCTCAATGCCAGCAGCACACTGGGCACCAGCCTGGGCCCCAGCCCTGGGCACTTGTCCACACTGCGTTGTTCTGTGGGCCTCAGGGCATCTGGGTGAAGTCCTCAGCTTGGGTCTTCAGCTCTGCGTTCTAGGCCACTGAGTTGACTCGGTCCCCATGGGTTTTGGTGATTCTGAGCCCTCAATCTTCTGCCCCTTGAGGCTGGCAGTGTTGGCCCAGGTCCTAGCCAGGTCCCATCCTCTTGGCCTCATTGAGGGGCAGCCCCTGTCTGGAGGCCTGTAAGGACCTTACCCTTAGAAAACTAGGACACAGTGGCTCTGCCTTTGGGATGGACACAGCTTTGCTCCCTGGCTCCTTCTCCAGACTGCTGACCCCCTCCCAGCTGACCTCTGGGCACTGACCCCCTCCCAGCTGACCTCTTGGGCACTGACTCCCTCCCCCTGACCTCTGGGCACTGACCCCCTCCCAGATGACCTTTGGGCACTGACCACATCCCCCCTGACCTCTGGGCACTGACTCCCTCCCCCCTGACCTCTGGGCACTGACCCCCTCCCCCCTGACCTCTGGGTGCTGACCCCCTCCCAGCTGACCTCCTCCCACTGACCTCTGGGCACTGACCCCTCCCCCTGATCTCTGGGCACTGAGCCCCTCCCAGCTGACCTTGGGTCACTGACCCCTCCCCCCTGACCTCTGGGTGTTGACCCCCTCCCCGCTGCTCCAAGTCTTTTCTTCTTGTGGAGCATACAGATGCAGCCCCTTCGGTGTTTCTCGCTTGTAGAATTGCAAGGGGCAGATACGTTCGTGTCTCTCATGGTCCCCTGTGGTCTAAGCAGATAGGTTTTCTGTGGCAGAAGCATTCACAAAGCAGGGGCCCGAAGTAAGGACCGACAGCTGCCAAGCAGGTAGGGTTCAAGGGAAAGCAAGCACCCGAGTGGATGAGAGCTGACCAGCACTGAATGGACAGCCACAGCTCTGGTGTGAGAGAAAGTTCCTAGGGGTCTCCTACTTCATCCACACCTGCACTGTCTCTTCACTCGAGGGAGTCTCTTGGGAGGGTGCTGTTTCTAATGAATAAGGCTCGGTGGGCTCTCCAGAGTCGAACCCGTGCTGCTCTGCTCAGTAGAACCTGGACGTCTCTATACCAACAGATGGTAGTTCTCTGGCCCATTTTGAGAGAACCTTCTTCAGAATCCACCCCCAGGGCCCTCAATGCTGCCATGACTCAGCCATGAATATGTGCTTTCCTGAGCGTCCAGGTGGACCCCCAGTTCCTGTGACACACAGAACTGAGAGATCATGAACAAATGAACCACTGCAGTCAATTCAACCATCAAGAACTTTGGTACCAAATATGTTCTGAGCTATGTATGCAATAATGTTCATATTCTAACCGTAAAATCAGGTTTGGGACCACACAAGTACAATATAGCATACATTTAATGTAACACTAACATGAGTAGTAATACAGGCCATAGTGTTCACCATTGCTTGCTATGTGTCAGAAAGCTGGACAATGACTAGGGATGACAGAGAATTGATAAAATTAATAATAGTAATAAAAAAATCTAACTTTTTTTTAAAAAAGAATTGATGCCTTTAAGCTATGGTGCTGGAGAAGAGTACTGAATATACCATGGACTGCCAGGAAAACAAACAGGTTCATCCTAGAGAGGGTGAAACCAGACTGCTTCTTGAAGGCAAGGATTCTGAGGCTTCATCTGACATACTTTGGACATGTTGGAAGGAGGGACCAGTCCTTGGAGAGGGATGTGATGCTTGGGAGGGTGGAGGGACAGTGCAGGAGAGGAAGACCCTCAGTGAGATGGACTGACTCAGTGACTGGGGTAATAAGGGTAGGTGTGTCAGAGACAGTAAAGTTGGCACAGGATACAGCAGTTTTCAGGGCTATTGTACTTGGGGTCACTATGAGTCACAAGCAACTTGACAGCACATAACAACAACAACAATAGCATGAGCAATAAGGTAAGGTAATATTGCCATAGCAAATGTAAAAAAAATACGTATGCTATTAATATTTAATCCAGCATAAAACATCTTAATTTATGTATGAAATTAGTTTTATGCTTGTTCTGTGATGCATCAGACACAGAGCTTGGTGTTGTTCCATGTGTGCTAATAAACACGGTAAAGGCACACCAAGAGGACACAAGATCCCATATTTACTTATCACGCAAAATATGTTCCTATTTTGCAAAATGAGTGTGTTTCTAAATTCATCTTCCAGGAAAACAACAGAGGATGTTTATCAGAAAATTACATTTCTCCTTTATCATCATATTTATGTCTCTTCATGTAAGGAAAGGAACGGTTACTGAAGAATAAATTAAGTGAATAGTTAGATAATAAAAATTATATAAATGTGTTTCATTTTCCATTTCCCTTCAGACTAACTTTCTTTAAGAAATCCACGGTGAGGCCATGCTAAACAGACTAGCCTGTCCAGAAGCAAGGTTCCTGTTGGATCATTACAGCTGCCCCTCTGACTATGGTCATCAAGCAACTCCACAAAAAGGTCAAATGTGCAGTTTTGTACACAATTCTATTTTCCGTCACATTTTGGTATAGACTCACATTCAAGTCCCTCTTGCCCACTGCCCAGGGACACACCCACAGCGCTGTCACTAGAGGAGCAGGAAATGCACTGCCCACGTCCTAGGCACTGGGCTCATAGCTTCCTCGGCAGACCGAGCACACCCCTGGGGTCTGAGCCGTTCTCCTTGCCATTACACCTGTCCCCGTGGGCTACCAGGCTGAGTCCAAGGAACTCAGCAAAGGGTAGAACATGAGTGCATGTTCTCTCAGGAATAAGCATTCTCCTGGTTTAAGCATTATCTCAACATAGAAAACAGAAGCATGACGGGACAAATGAAAGTGCTGCCCACCTTTGAACACACTCATTCCCCTGCTCAGATCTGAACATGCTACCTTCAAGTCAATCCTTTTTTACTGGTTTTTTTTCCCAACAGAAATTGTGTTACTGTCTAAATTCTGATGTAAGCATCATTTGCTACATTTTACTTGTTTCAAAATTTAATTTATATTCAATTTTTCCAACTTACTTGCTACTTACCAGACCACCTCAGTGCTGCCGAGTCAGCTCCCACTCCATGCGGCCCTCCAGCAGGTTTTCAGACCACCTCTCAGACAGGAGACTGTCCACCTGGCCCTGTCCACTTGAAGCGCAGGCTGGATTTGAACTGCTGACCTTTGCACTGCTAATAAGCGGTGCAATAGGTAATGTACTACACATCAGAACTCTTCTTATGGTTCTACAATGGAGCCGAATTTCAAAGTGGCGTGATTTTATATCCAGGTAAAATGAAATGGCAACACTTAAGTGGGAAAACAAGTTTCCAAAAGAGAAAAAGAAAAGATTCTGTAAATCCCTAAAGACAATTGCAAAATCCACTTCGATTTTCAGAAGATTCCTTCCACTGGGTTCTGGCGTGTAATTGGTGTCGACTGTCCGAGCTGTACTGCTGCTGTGGGAATGACTGACCAGCAAGGCTCATAGCCATTGGGTGGCACCGACTTTCGAGCTGATCTTCCATGGGGTTCCCCGGGCCATGAACCCGGGAGGAAGCTGTCCCTCTTTCTTCCTCTGAGCTCCCAGGACTTTGAACTGACAGGGAGACACAGCCTTTGGATGGCAGAATAATCCTACAGACTAGGCAACACGCTGTAACAGAATCTGTTCTGGATTCTGCAGCCATTCCTTCCACAGATTCCTTATATAATTAGATAAACACTATTTTAGAAGCTGAAATTGTCACATTTGCAGACCCTATAAATAACATAAACACGGATCCTGCTTCGTTGAATAATTTTTCTTCTAATGATGTAAATTGTTGGATGAACGAGGGCCCAGTGGAGACTGTCTGGTGGTAAACAAACCAGGTCCTATAGTCAGAGGAGTTTCTAGGCCACGCACTGCACTGCAACCGTCAGATGGCTCTGGCAGGGGGAGGTGTATGCAGGCTATTCCAACATAGATAATTCAGTTATCCTTTTACTATAGACAGGGTTGGCGATGGGCACAAATCAGTTACGACTGATAAACCTGAAAACAGCTCATTTACAGAGACTGTGTGGCATCATATATCCCGCAAGGACATGGTTAGGACTTGACAACTTGAAGCTGAAGTGGACGCAGCACATCAGAACTGGAAGCTGTTTGTGCAGTGTGCTGTCGCCATCATTCTAACAGCTGTCAGAAGAAACCAAGTGTTTGAGTCCCACAAAACCAACCTGTGCTTAGCTTAACCCCTTCTGGCAGTTGCTTGTCACTCATAGCAGTCCAATGTACACAGCCCAGAAACCTGCTCTGTCCTGGGCCAACTTTATGGTCTCTGACACACCTACTCTCACTATACCAGTCACTGCATCAGTCCATCTCATTGATGGTCTCCCTCTCTTTCTCTGTCCCTCCACCCTTCCAAGTACGATGTCCCTCTCCAAAGAAACAGGAAAAGGCAACACGTCACCCATTCCTGAAACAATCTGTGAACAGTTAACTCGACATTGTAATGAATCAATGGTAATTAATATAAAACAAAAATGTATATATGAAAAACTAGTATGATTTGTAAATGTCCACTGAAATAAAATGAATAATAAATGACAACATATGAAGAATTCATAAATGTAAGTTATAAAGTTCAGCTGGCTGTTTTAAGTTAACTCAGCAGAGCTCAGCATTTCCGTTTGTCCATAGATTCCATTTCTGATCTTTCGCACACAGAGCAGCTAAGTTTTCTTTTAGAATGTGTGTCTCCAGCAGATGGAAAACCTGTTGGATAATTCCTCACACTTCTTATAGTAAAAAGTCACACCCGTGAAGAAATTGCAAATCAAGTACTTTACCATTTATGTGAAGTTTATAAAATAGATTTTTCCAAGTGCAGAGGCCCGTCCTATGGCAGCGTTGCGGTAGGAGAACACGGAAGAAAACCTCCAGAGGCAGGGGTGCTGCGCTTCACCCACGGCTGGGCGTGCGCCTGCGTGGGCACGAGCCACCCGCTAGCTTGCTGCCTGGAAGCAGGGGATAGTTTTCTATCTACACATTTTTTTGCTGCCTCTTCTCACTGATAAGGGTGCTCTGGTGGCTCTGTAGTAAGGAGTTGCATTGCCAACCCAAAGGTACCTGGTTCAAATTCATCTAATTCTACAGGAGAAAGATGGGCAATGTCCTCCTGTGCATTTACAGCCTCTGAAAGCTAACTGCAGGGTCAGCTGTCAGCTGTTTCTGAGTCAAAGGTATGCAACTCCACCAATTCACTGGTGAAGAGTTCTTCAAACATTTAGCAGCCCTATGAACAAAAGATTGAACCGTGTTCTATCCTGCGCCAGCCTCACACTTCCTGACACACAAGAGTCTACTGTGGCAGTCACCGTGTCAATCCATCTGGTTGAGAATCTTCCTCTCCTTTGCTGACCCTCCACCCTTCCCAGCATCATGTCCTTCTCCAGGGATTAGCATTGGAGGAAGACTCATCAACAGTCTGTGTTATGCAGATGATACAACCCTGCTTGCTGAAACCAAGGAGGACCCGAAGCATTTGATGCAGATGGTCAAGGACTGCAGCCTCCTATATGAACCAATGCTCAACATCAAGAAAACAAAGATTCTTACCACTGGGCCAATTGGCAGCATCATGATAGACGGTGAAGAGATTGAGATTGTGACAACTTTAGTTTGCTTGGTTCCGTAATCAACACTCTTGGCACCAGCAGCCAGTAAATTAAAAGATGTATTACGTTGGGAAAGTCTGCTGTCAGAGACCTCTCTAAGGTACTGAGGAGAAACGATGTCAGTCTGGAGAGTCAGGTGTGCCTGACACCGACCATGTTCTTCACAATCACTTGCTATGCATCAGGGCTGGACAATGACTAGGGATGATGGAAGGGAAATCGATGCCTTTGAGCTATGATGCTGGAGAAGAGTACTGAATATACCATGGACTGCTGAGAAAACAAACAGGTTCATCCTGTAGAGGGTGCTCCTTGAAGGCAAGGATTCTGAAGCTCCATCTGACATATTTTGGGCATGTTTTAAGGAGGGACTGGTCCTTGGAGAGGGACTTCATGCTTCGGAGGATGGAGGGACAGTGCAGGAGAGGAAGACACTTAATGAGATGGATCGACTCCGTGACTGGGGTAATGGGGATAGGTGTGTTTGAGACAGTGAGATCGGCACAGGACAGAGCAGGGTTTAGGGCTGCTGTACACAGGGTCGCTATGAGTGGGAGGTGACTTGACAGCACATAACAACAACATGCCCAAAGTATGTGAGGCAAAGCCTTATCATTCTTGTCTTCAAAGAATACTCTGGCTGCACCCTCTCCAACACCTATCTCTGTTGACTAAGTATTAAAGTGGCTTTCTAACACAATTGGGAAATCCACGCGATAGCATAGAGATCAGTCCTGGATCACACAGACTCTAGATAACATTGCTAGAATATATTGCTAAAAGGCAGAGGCAAAATAGAGACCCCAAAACAGAAATGAGGAAAAAGCATCAAGATGCGAACACTAGAGCTGTGGGTTATGTGGGATAATAAACTGCAGCATTTTTCTTTCGCTAGAAGAGTCAAGATCTCCAAGGATCAGGAGGAAATTTAGAAACATTTACAGATCTCTCGCTACGAATCACCATAAGGGCATTTACACAACCTAACAGAAGATCTTTTAAAAAACACAACAAAATGCTACCGCCAAATACTGATATCTAGTATTTCACCATGGCAGCAGCATTAGAAAGCCCCAAGCTAACAACCAGTGTGCTTTGGAGGCGTCAGTGGTGCAGAGCCATGTACTATGTCATCTCTGGTACACAGGAGTTCTTACAAAGTTCTTTCAGAGATTTCCCCTCATAAGCAATGTGGGCTTCCCGGAGGAAGAACGAACACAGGCACCACAATCGTGCAGACCAACGGCTAGAAGAAAGCTTTCTGGAGAAGCATGGTGATTTCATCCTGACCTGAGAACTAAGTTTATAGATTCAGGAAAGAAAATTATGCTCATGTAGGCACACTTAATTCCACAGTAGAAGATAATAAACACTGTGGTTCCCAAAGATTAATGCACAGTCCAAACTTCACAACAGAACATGCATGTTTGTCCTTAAGGAAATGAAAAAACCCTCAGCACACAACAACTTAAGAAAGAGTCCGTTCATTGTCTTTTATGTGCAGAAGTGGACCTTGGTTAGTAGACCACGTAGAATATGTACGAGTAAAGAATAGGAAGAAAGGTTTTAATTACATGTTAGAGATGAAACGTTTGAAAACAAGCCCAAAGCCTCTGCCATTGAGCTGATTCTGCCCATCGGGTCACTAGGGCAGAGAAGTGGCGCCAAGGCTGTGACCTTTCTGGGTGCTGACGCCCTGGTGACTCTCGTGGTAAGGAGCTGTGCTTGCCAACATGAACACGGGCGGTTTGGGCGATCTCCTCCTGCCTGATTAGCCATCTCTGAAAACCCACTGGAGGGTCAGCTATGGCTCTCCTCCTCCACAGAAAGTCTCCCCACACAAACCGTGTGCTCTGCTCACACTAGGCTGCTCTCAGCCTCGCTGTACAGCATCATCTGACCACAGGAACAGTCTTTGTGGGGCCCACAGTCACCTCTTCCTCTGGTGCAAAAGCTGACTGGCTCGGCAACAGCAGCCCCCGCTCAGGACCAAGCTTTGTCTGAGGTCCAGGCGGGAGGTGCCGTCCAGCACTTGCTCCGTCCTCACGGCTCCAGCTCACTATTGCGGTCACTGTGCTAGCCAGCTCACTGACTGCTGACCCCCTACCTTCCCAACACGGCCTTCTCCAGGGACTGGCCCCTTGTTAATGAGCTCAGGGCAAGGAGTCGAGCCGTCCTTGCTCTCGGGAAGCCTTCTGCCTGCACTTGTACCTGGACTTGGGGGCTTGTTCTCTTTGTAGGCCGTGATTTACTCCCTACTTGCTGTCAACACAACTCACAGCCGTCAGTCCTCATCCTCCCTTCCACCTCTCACAGGCACGCACAGCGACTGAAAAGGCTATGGCTTGAGCCAGACACACCTGAGTCTTTAAAGCATTGTACTGGCTCTCGAGCACTTTAAAGGTGTCCCTGACAGCAGCATTGCCCCGTGTGATCCCTGCTGGTCCAGGTCTTGATTTCTTGGTCCTCTAGTGCAGCTGTGTGATAGAAGCACCACAAGCTGATGGTTTGAATGGAGGTTCCCTCACATGCTGAGCTGAGAAGCTCGGCCACTGAGCTCTACCAGGCTGCCCCTCCCCTCTGGCTCCAGGCATCTCCATGCCCTCTTCTCATCCCCTTGCTCGGCCTGGCTGCAGCCTCACGTGGGCTGGAGGCGAGTTCTCTTCAAACACTGGCTCCTGTGACCAGTGAAGCTGCTGTTGTCCCTGCCTCCCACCCCCTGAGGTCTCAAGGGCCTCAGTAAGTGCTGGGAGTGGGACACCCAGAGGGGCCACTGTCCCCCCTCACCATCCACGCAGAGGGACAAAGTCAGGCGCTGGCCAGCAGGAAGGCAAGTCCAGACTCCCTTGCTCCTGTGAGGCCAGCTCCATCCTCTGCTTTAGCTGCTGCTGGGCTGCTTCCCCTGGCCTCATGGTGCACCTGCTGGCCAGCATAGGGGGAGGACATCCAGGATTGAGAGCCTGGAGCGGGAATCAAGGGCCGGTGTGGGGGGAGCATTAGTGGACTGAAATACTCCAAAACACATGTATGAAATGATGTGATGTGGAAGCCGCATCATGGTCTCCACGGCCAGTTGTGCAGGATTAAGGGTGGAAGGCAACACCCCTTCTTAACCCTATTCTCAGCCCTAATCCCATGTAAGGGGGTTCCCCTGGGGTGTGGCCTGTAATACTATCTAACCCCCCAGAGATAAAAGGGAGGAAAGTGAGTGGAGAAATTGCCAGGCACGGATTGAGTCTCTGCAAGGAGGCGCCGATACCAGGACGCGCCAGACACCTAGATCCCCCGGGGACAGTGGCCTGCAGATGCTGAAGGACACAAGGTCTTCCGTCCAGAACTGACCAGGGTGGAGCCAGGAGGCTTCCCCTGGAGCCGGAGCCCTGAATTCAGACTTCTAGCCTCAAATGGGGATGGAGAAGTTTAAAAGGCATTGCTTGCAGCATTACCGCAGCACCAGAGCATCGACAGGTGAGAATTTGGGTGACAGGACAGCTCAGGCCTGGGGCCATTAGACCAGGGGACTAGCTGGGGAGGTGTGGGGCCTGAAGCTGGGCCTGGTTAACACATGGGAGGGCAGTGAGGGCACACGTGAGCTTCAGATCCTGAGGACAGCAGCACAGCGCCTCGTTCTGATGTGGGCTCTGGTGGGCATTGGGCCAATTGTTGTCAAGAGATTGAGACCAACCAGCTCCTGAGAAGGAGAGCGGTGCCTGGGTTCCTCCTTTAACAGCTCATGGTGGCAGGGTCGCTGAGCTGAGATTAACTCGAGGCAGTTGGCAGGCTCCAGACAAGCGTCTCGGAGGCTTGGGTCCCGGAGGCTTGGGTCCCAGAGGCCTGGGGCTGAAGCACTCAAGCCACTAACCAGAGGCGGGCAATTTGAACACACCAGAAGTTCCTAGCAAGATGAAGTAAGTGGTCATCACACCCAAAAAGAACACAACTAGACAATGAATGCTTTCTGCACGGCGGGTGTAAAGAAAATTCTAAAAAAGGGAAGCAGACAGCTCGGACTTCTCTTGGGGACCAAGGTTTCTTAAGACACACGAGAAGCCTGGACACAGAGTCCTCACCCAGCAGGTGGACACACGACCCCTTGGTGGGCCACCCACCGGGTTCTGCCTGAGATCAGATCATGCTTTGATCTGTGGCACTGGAGGGTCAGCGGGGTGGCCTTGGCATGTCACACAAGAGGCAAACAGGAAATGCTGGGTGTAGACCAGGCTAAGAGTTACAGACTGAGTCAGAGGTAGCCTCCAGTGACCAGCGCAGGGCCAGGCGGTGGTGGACAGAGACGGGTGAAGTGGGCAGAGACGGGCAGCAGCCAGGCCACCTTAGCTGCCCACACCCCCAACCCAGCCCTCTAATCATGGCAGCGGTGGGTTCAGCAGAGAAGATGAAAGGCGAGTGATTAGCTTACTCACTCAACCCTCAAGGACAAAGCCCTTTGAGGTGGCCTGGCAGAGAAAGCAGAGACGCAAAAGCCATTTGAAAACAGAGACCTTTGAAATTACAGGACATTAAAACAGAGCTCTGTGCAGGGGGCTGTCTTGCACTGGTGAGAACAGATCAAACCCTGTGCTCAAGCCTGGCGCAGATGCGGGGGGAGGGGGCACTGAAGGCCAAGGCCACAGCTGGAAAAGAGCTGGGTGCTGGCCTGTGTGAGGACAAGCCCAGCTGGGCGGCTGGCTGCTGGGACAGACCAGGGACTCCGCATGGACCCTCATCCAGCTCAGCTGAATGCTCAATGACAGGCCCCTCCCTCCAGTCTGGCCCTGTGGCTTGGGCCCTTTGCTTTTGCCTGGAGATCCCAAGTCCTCATTTTCCCTGCACTGTGGGTGAAAGGACAACCCCATGTCCCTCTGTTCTGCTGTGAAGGCCAAAACCAGGCTGGAACCACAGCTCGCCTGCCCGGATATTGGGGGCATTCGGCCGTGAAGTACACCCTGGGTCTGGCCGGCATCCGGCCCTGCTCAGCATGGTGTTCCTGGCACAGAGGGGAGGCGGCCTCTGGTGTCTTGATGCTCAGACTGCACCACACCCCAGCTCTGGCACCCGGGCCCCACCAGTGCACTCCCGGGGACAGCCAGCGGCTGCAGCTTCACAGCCGACAGGCAGGGCCAGCAGGTCCCCGCTCAGCTCAGTGGGAGCCCGCGCTCTCAGGAGTGTGAGAACATTAGTCAGCACTGTGGGGCCTCCGCTAATTAAGAACGTTAATTAACACAAATGAGTCCAATCCCAGCAAATTAGCAAGCCAGGGTGATGGGTGCACGGGGTGCCAGGCAGAGCGGCTCTCAGGTGGGATGGAACATTCTAGTCCCCAAGAGGCCTCCTGAGAAGTGCCATAGGGAGGGACAAGGCCAGGCTGACCAGGAAGACGGTGAGAAGCCTCACGTCTGAAGAGCCACTGGGTCCTGCAACAGGGTTTTATTTGTGCAACGGCTTGCACAATTCTGTCTCCCGCTCGCTCTCACCCTGTCACTGGGCTGTGCCTGCTGCTGGCCCCACGAACATGTCCTGTGAAGGGACAGCTCAGTGGCCAGCAGCCTGTTCCTATGAAGACCACAGAGAGTTCAGTGGCCAGAGGCCTGTCCTGTGAGGTGTCACTAGTGCAGTGGTTGTCTGCCATGTACTGGCCCCATCCCCACGTGCTTGTCAAACAGTTCCTTCAGACGCAGCAGCAGCGCCTCGAGATTGTCCCCCGTGGTGGCCGAGAGTGGGATGACTGCCTCACCCAGGCGGGTCTGCAGCTCGGGCAGATGGGCTCGGGCCTCGGGGAGGTCCACCTTATTCCCAATAACAGCGTAGGGCCTCTCGGACAGGCCTCCCTTGTACTTCTCCAGTTCAAACCTCAAGTCCTCGAGCTGCGTCCAGGGCTCTGGTGCTGAGAGATCCAACACGAACAACAGGAACTGGCAGCGCTCGATGTGGCGCAGGAAGGCGAACCCCAGCCCGCGGTTCAGGTGGGCGCCCCTGATAATGCCCGGGATGTCAGCCACTGTGGGGATGGGACAGGCCACCCGAGCCCTCAGTGACCCTGATTATGCTGGCCACTGCGGGGATGGGACAGGCCACCCGAGACCTCAGTGACCCCAATGATAATGGCCACTGCAGGGACAGGATGGGTCACCCTGAGCCCACAGCACCTCTGATGATGTCAGGATATTGGCCCCTGATGATGCCTGGACATCGACCACTGTGGTCACCCTGACCTGGCAGGGGACAGCAAAGGTCACCTGTGAGGCCTCAGTGCTCTTAATGATTCTAAAGATGTTGGCCATAGTGGTGACAGCACTGGTCACCCTGAGCCCAAAGTGCCCCTGAAGATGATGGGGACATGGGCCACTCTGAGCCCACAGTGTCCCTGGTGACTTAGGGGATGTCCACGACCAGGAGAAGAACAGTCCCACCGGCTCTCACGTGGTGTAAAGGGAGCTCGCTGCTGACTGACCCAGCAGGACGCGGCACCCGGAGGCTGGCTGGCTGTTCTCAAGGAGGAGGCTTATTTACAGCCATTTCTTCCCCTTAAAACGCTCTAAGAAGCTTTGAGAAATAGGCTGACTGACTGACCTGTCCCCAGGAGAGGGAAAAACAAGGCATGAGGTGAGAGGATACTTTCCCTCTTGTTGGAAACTTGGAGGTAAAGTGCCCGCAGGTCTCGTCTAAGAGGGCACATGCCTCACGAGTGTACCCAGCACAGCCTCGATCCGGGGAAGTGCCTTACACCCTAAGGGCGCTGCCCCTGTCTGCCTGGAGGGGGGACGTCCCACCTGTCACTTGCTGGTGGCCTTCATAGTGCACGATGCCAACATGGGGCTTCAGGGTGGTGAAGGGGTAGGCGGCCACTGCAGGCCTGGCATTGGAGATGGCTCGGAGCAACGAGGACTTCCCGGCATTGGGAAAGCCGACCTACAGACACAGTGACCGCTCTGTGACCACAGAACGTGACCCAGGCCAGAGCTCATGGCCGGGTGGGGAAGGGGGTGCTGCAGGGGCAGAGTGGGGAGGTGACCGCCCCCCCAGGCAGGGGTCCACTGTGACAGGGATGAGGGAAGGGCACAGGGGCTAGCTGGAGAAGAGGTGACTGTCCAGCCATGGTGGTGGGGTGAGGAAGGGAGTGACCCCACACGACAGGCCAGTGAAGGGAGACAAGAGGGCAGCCTGGGGGACGGACGGTAAGTGAGGGCAGTGCCTGGAGCTGACACTCACCATGCCCGCGTGGGCCATTGTCTTCAGCTCCAGGAAGAGGACGCGCTCCTGGCCGGGCTGCCCCGGGGTGCTGGTTTTGGGGGCGCGGTTGTCATTGGCCAGGAAGAAGTGGTTGCCCTTTCCCCCTGCACCCCCGAGCGCAGCAATGTACTCGTCGCCTGGCTGGGCAAGGTCAGCCACTGTGGCCTCACCCTCCTTGACGAGAGTGCCCAGGGGGACCTGGAGGGCCGAGAGCACGGTGAGTGCCCAGCCCTGAGGACAGAGCCACAGGAGGCCACAGAGAGAGGGCAGAGCTCTGTGCGTGTCCCTGAGGGCCACGGCTGCCGGTCACGCAGGCACTGTGCCAGGGCACACGCAGGCACGGCTCTCTCGTGGTTCTGAAGGACCAAGGCCCATCAAGGCACAGGATGGGCCTGAGCTTCCCCAGGAGGTGAGCCTGCCACTTGGGGAGACGCTGCCAGCTCGGCCCAGCAGCCCTGGGGGTGGCAGGGAGACGGCTGGATCTGCTGGGGGGAGTGGATCTGCTGGGCTCCCCTCTAAAACGCATCCTCTTGTGGGTTGTGACCTCAAACGCCCTCGGGGGTCAGGGTTACGGTGACTGTCCGTGGCTGATCCGTCTGCTTTGCCCCGCGAGGCCTAGACGGGGCAGGGCGATGCGGGAGCCCTCACTCACCTGGACGTAGAGCGGACTTCCATTGCGCCCAAAGCAGTTCTTGCTCCCACCGTCCTCGCCATGGACTCCCTGATAGCGGGACAGAACTGAGGCCAGAGACTTGACTTGCCTGTCGGCTGAAGGAGAGAAGCCTTCATCCTGTGTTCCAGAACTTCCAGCCAGGACATCAAAACCGCACACAGCGGCACGGGGTAAAACAATCGTTGACAACACGATCTTTCTCAAAGGCTACAACTCTCTGTTGGCTTCATGAATGGTTACTGGAGCTGCCTGGTGCGCCGCTCAAAGCAACGTGCAGGTCGCCAAAGTGACATGCAAGAGCTTACTCCCTGTGTGCCAGGGTGTGGAGGGGCACTGTGCCCACAAGACGCCCAATGCCGTCCCGTCCCGAGGGCTCCAGCATCCACCTCTCAGGACGATATAGCCTGACCCCCCAGACCCCCACTGTCCCATCCCTCTCAGGAGAATGTGGCCCCTGGCACCCACTTCTCGGGGACATGACCCCCTGGCACTCACCTCTTAGGATGACATTGCCACCATTGCCTCCATCGCCACCACTGGGGCCCCCAAACTCCTTCCGGGGCTCGCTGTGGAAGCAGCTCATCCCATCACCTCCGTTCCCCCCACGGAGGAGCACTCTCCGGTGATCCACAAAGTACCTCTTCTGTGAAGAGCGTGAGAGACACCATCCTGGGAGCCACTACTTAAACGCTGCTCCACGGAGCCAAGCGCCCCTGTCCTGGGATCCTGCAACCTCTAAACCCCCACCCAAAGCACCAAGTCTCCTGAACAGCAGACAGCAGCCCCGCTGAGCCCATCCAGGGTCTGCCCTGAGCGCCGGCAGGTCTGGTCCGTCTCTGTGGGACAGGACTGGCAGGAGCAACCGAAAGGTCTGGTGGGAGCCTAACAGCTCTGAATGCTGTGGGGGACAGCTTGGGAAAGGAGGGGGACAGCTATCCAACTCAGGGTGTCCCCGGGGTCCCTGAACTTGGTGTGTGGAGGTGGGCGAGCTCAAGTGTGTTCTCCATGCACGTTCTCAACAACAAAGTACAAGAATCTTACAAACTTCTCCTGTAAGCCCAAATTTTCACTTCAAAGGGACCTTAACTTCACAATAGGCGCCTTCTGGAAGGTCTCTAACCCACCGTCCAGCCTCCTGCCCCAAAGGACAAGCACCTCCCCCAGGGCACGGAACTGGCACCAGAAGTCAGGGCAGATGAGGGGTCCCTGTGGCAGGTATTTCCACATTTGACAAAAGAGGCATCACCCAGAACAGTGCCCACCCTGAGGTCCCCCACACTGGGGACGTCCACGGGCCCCGGCTCATAAGAGACCTCACGACTAAGAGGACAGAAGGCTGCCTGATTCCATGCCACCCTCAGTGTCGACCATGGCCACTGCGTTATGCTCACTGCCTGACCCCATGCCACCCTCAATGTCGACCACAGTCACTGCATTCTGTTCACTGTCCAATCCCATGCCATCCTGAGTCTCGACCATGGTCACCGCGTTCTGTTCACTGCCTGACCCCATGCCACCCTGTGTCGACCATGGTCACCGTGTTCTGCTCACTGCCCAATCCCATGCCATCCTCAGTCTCGACCATGGTCACCACATCAGTTCTGCTGAGAGCTGGCTAGGATGGACTGGATGTCCCTGTGGGCCAGATGTTTGTAACATATGACGTGCAATGTATGTGGCAGGTATATAATGATACAATGTGGAGTCTGGAAAGATCGTCCAGGATCTGATAAACCAAGCAGTTTTTAAAGGATCACTGTGGGTCCCATCAGACCTGACAGGGTGTGGTCTATAACACTGTTCATCTCATCAGAGAGAAAAGGAGAGGAAAGCCAGCCAAGAAGCGGGTCATCGCCACGAGCGGAGTGTGTCCTAGACCTGGGCCCCTGCACAGGGAAGCCCCCTGACAGCAGAGAAGGCCAGGTCACCTGCAGATCTCCAAGGTCACCTGGACTACAGATGCTGGAGACAGGCCCTTCCTCCAGAACCGACAGAGAGGGCCCTCACCTGGAGCCAGCACCCTGCATCTGGACTCAGTCCCCACACGAGAATAAATGTCTGTGTGTTAAAGTCGCCATCTCGTGTGCTTCCTGTCAGGGCAGCGCTGGAGAACTTAGACAAGGTCTTCCCCTTTTCCTTGGTTCTCTCCTCTCCAAGCATGATGTCCTTCTCCTGGGGCTGGTCCCTCTTAAGACTCTCTCATGCCCAAGTTCAGGACCTTACCGTCCCCGCCTCTCTGGCTGTATTTCTAGGCCTTTCACACAGGACGGCCCTGCGGAGATAGCCCACCTGCTAATGGAAACGGCCCACCAGAGCCTTTGTTGGGGCAGCAGCCGATGGCCAGCAGCGGCCCCTCAAATGGGCATGTTCTAAAGGCAGAGCCTTTCTCTGGGAGGATTTCCACAGGTCCTTCCGATGAGCCCAGCGAGCTAAAGGCAGAGACCCAACAGTGTTCCCTGGAGGCAAAGACAACAGCTTCATCTCGCACGCTTCTGGCCTGCTGCTCGGAAAGGTTATTCCCTGGGGAGGGACATCATGCTTGGAAAGGTGGAGCAATGGCAAAGGAAAGCTCCTCAACCAGGTGGACTGACACGGGGACGGCTGCAATGGGCTCGAGGGTCAGGAAGTGTGAGGACGGCGCAGGACAGGAAGGGGTTCCGATCTGCTGTTCACACTACGAGTTGTACTTGACTTGACGGCCCCTAACACCAACCAGTCAATACTTGGTTTTAACTAGTTCCCTGCCTTGTTACTGCCTGGATGCAAGCTCGGCCCCCGCCCCCGGTGTCCACCGTAGCCACATTCCCATCCTCTACCTCATAACAACCACCACCACCACCATCTCATAAATGGATCTTCCTTTCATGTTTAGAAAATGCACAAATGTTTTCAGAGTCTCTGGCACCACCATATGGAAAAACCACGGATAAACTCAAAGAAACTGCAAGCCACGTTCCCACACAGGCAATTCTGAGATGGATCTGCTGTGACCCCACTTGGGGGAAGAGTCCAGAGAGGCTAAGCCAGAGCACCCTCTGGTGGTCAGCGGGGGGCACAGGGAACTCCTGCTTCAGGGTGCTGTCCATCCGGGGGCACCAGATGGTGGTGCAGGGAGGGCTCACACCAATGAACCCCAGTGTGATAAGTGGCCAGAGTGGCAAATGTTCTGCTCCGTGCGTTTCACCTTAACAGACGTTTACAGCTAAGAGGACAGAAATGAGCTCTGATAGAAAATGGTGCAAGGAGGGTGTTCATGGAGCTAAAAGCAGGTGCAGGTCCCCCTGGGAAAGTGAGCCGTGGAGACATCACTGTCCAGTACAACAAGCAGCACTGCAGTGTCCCACAGACGTGGGGATACAAGGCTGTCCACCTGTCACGCTGGCAGGACACTCATCAGCTCACCCCACCTTAGTCACAGGCCAGCGTGGACTTGGCCAAGTCACAGACTGTGGTGGCCCGTGGGGACCCAGGCACCCACCAGCCAACGGCAGGCATGCCAGCCCCATGGAGCCACCACTGCACTCAGTGCTACGTCCAAGAAGGGAGGAACCCCTGTGGTGCAGGGGTTAAGCATTCAGTGAGTAATCAGCAGTTCAAACCTCCCGCACTCAGAAGGTGGTGCCCGCCAAGATTCACTCGCTCACCGCCTAGGAGCTGACAGGCTCAGAGCAACTGTCCACCATTCCTTCGCTGAAACAAGACTGGAAACCGAGACGGGAGGAGCCCACCTATCTTTCTCCTTTGATACTGCTGGTGGATATGAACTGCCAGAGACTCTGGCCTGAGTTAGCTCTGCATAAAGGTAACAGCTTGGGAAGGCCATGTGCAACAGTGTCACCAGGGGTGTCACTTGCGTTGGAGTCTAGGGGCTAATGGAGGTGAGACCAGGAGCAGAGGGGGCCCGCTGGCCCACGGGGCAGAGGGGGCCCACTGGAGCAGATGGGGCCCATGGGGCAGAGGGGGCCCGCTGTACAAGCCTGTACATTCTGGGTTCTTACCAGGTTTTTTTCAGAAAGCGTCTTCTTTTGGAGGCTTTCCTGGTGCTTGGCACAGCTGGCACAGGTGGCTGAGAGGAGCCTGGCAATGGGCTTGGGCGAGCCAAGCTGTAGGACAGTCTGGGTGGACAGGGTCTGAGTGGGACAGGACACCACACCCTCCAGCGCCCCTGGCCATCTTGTCCAGAGAAGCCTTGTGGGCACCATGACCACCTGACCAAAATAAAACGGTAAAAAATGCTGCATTTAAACTCAAACAGAACCAGAACCCAGAAGGGCTCCACAGGGCCCTTGCACAAAAGCCCTCCTGACGCCACTGGCACCCCCTCTCAGCACGTTCTGAAAGGGTACAGGCACAGGGCACAAGAAGAATCTAACGGAATCAAACACAATCAGCTGCCCTCAGTCACATTCTCAACAGTGCTTCTCTCTTGTCATACTATTGGCACCATCCCTTGGCCTCTAGGCTGCCCCCAGGCCTCTGCCTCCCTGCCTTGGTGCCAAGCAGTTGGCATGCCCACACAGATGTTGCCGCAGCTGTGTTTACAACAGCCGTAACTCAGAGCCAAGATGGCCCTAGGAGGGTGATGGGATGAGCAGACTGTGGTACATCTGTGGGTGAAACTCAGCTCAGAAGGAAAGAGAAAGCATCGTGCAGACGCAGTGGTCAGGTGCCATGGAATCAGCCCCTGCATGGCGATCCTGTGTACCACAGAAGAGCCCTGCTCGATCCTAAATGCACTTTGCTCAGGGAATGCCTACATCTCCACATTAAGAAGGCAGAAGTCCTCACTGCTGGGCCAGTAGGTAGCATCATGATAGATGGAAAAAAGACTGAAGTTGTCAACCATTTCATCTACTTGGATCCACAATCAACACCTTTGGTACCAGCAGTCAAGAAATCAAAAGTTGTTTTACTTTGGGGAAATCTGCTGCCAAGAACCTCTCTAAGATGGTAAGGAGCAGCGATGTCAGTTTAAAGACTAAGCTGTACCTGACTCAAACTACGGTCTTTTCAATTGCTACACATTTGACTGTTGGACAATGAATAAGGATGACAGAAGAACTGATGCCTTTGAGCCGTGGTACTGGAGAAGAGTGTTGAGTATCACACACACTGTCAGAAGAACATGTAAATAATGTCTTGGAGAAAGTGGATCCAGAGTGCTCCGTGGAGTTGTTGAAGCTCTGTCTCACATACTCTGGATGCGCGGTCAGGAAGGGCCAGTTCTTGGAAAAAGTCATGATGCTGGGAAAGGTGGAAAGCCAGTAAAAGAGAGAATGACCCTCAAGGAGAGAAAACGACACAGTGACCACAGCAATGGGCTCGAATATGTCAGGGACAGTGAGGGCAGCGCAAGATAGGGAGTACATCATGTCTTCACTCTGAGGCAGCAGGACAGTGTCATCTGCATATTTCAAAGATTGATGATGAGTCTTCTTCAAACGCTGATGTCACATCCTACTCCATATGGTCCAACTTCCTGCATTATTTATTTGGCATCCATACTCGCTGTGGTAGATGAAGAAAGCCCTGACGCACACCTTTCCTAACCTTAGACCATGCAGTATGCTTTTGTCCTGCCAGAATGGCCACGTCCTGGTTTCTGTACAGGTTCCACATGAACACAGTTAAGTGTTCTAGAATTGCCCTTCTTCTCAATGTTGTTATGATTTATTATCAGCCTTACAGTGGAATGAATGTGTTTGCATAGTCAACAAAACACAAGTAAACATCTTTCTTGTGTTCTCTGCTTTCAACCAAGTCTAACTGATATAAGAAATTATATTCCTTGGTGCACAGACTCTTCTGAATCCTGCCTGAATTTCCAGTAGTTCCCTTTCAATCTAGTACTCCTGCCGTCTTTTAACAATCTTCAGCAACATGAACTGCAGAAACTGAAGAAGACTTGAGGCACTTACTGCGTAAGATCAAAAACTACAGCCTTCAATACAGATTGCATCTCAACATCAAGAACAAAAATTCTCAACACTGGACGAATAGGCAACATCATGATAGATAAAGAATTTAAAGCTGCCAATAATTTCATTGTACTTGGATCCACAATTAACACCCATACTAACAGCAATCAAGGAATCTAAAGATACACTGCAAAGGACCAATTGGCTCTCAAAGGTTTCTTTAAAAGTGCTAAAGAGCAAGGACGTCACTTTAAAGACTAAGATGTGCCTGACCCAAGAAATGGTATTTTTAATTGCTTTACATAAAAACTGGAGAATTTAATGTCTTTGGATTGTGGTGTTGGCAATGCACACTGAACACCCATGAAATGCCAGGAAAACGAACAAATCTGTGTTAGAAGAAGAACAGGCAGGGGCTTTCAGGGCAAAGATGGCGTGACCGTCTTGCATGCTCTGACCACGGTGTCAAGTGGGCGACCTCTGAAAATGGAATCACGCCGGCAGACGGTCACTGGAAGGGAGGCACAGTGACCGCAACAACGGGCTGGGGTGCAGGGCCGGGCAGGGCTTCGATCTGTGGTCATGGGGTCCCCTGCCCCCAGCGCGACGCTGCCAGCTCTGCAGCTCGGGTGGACTAAGGCTGCGACAGCTGGACAGCAGCCTCGCTGAGCCGGCGGCTGGAAGCGACGGCCCGGCCCCGGTGGCCGGTCGATGAATGACCGAGACGTCCGACTGGCCTCTGGGATCGGGCCGCCCCGCCGCCACCCACCTCCCGCTCTGGGCGCCCGGCGCCCGCACTCACCGACTCGGAAACTCACGCCGCTTCCGGGTCACCCACCGGGACGCAGAGTTCACATCCGGGTCGCTCGGCGTGCGCGGCTCGCCTGACCCCGCCCCGAGTGCGCCTGCGCAGAACGCCCAGCGCGCATGCGCAGATGCCGCAGACCAGGCGGTAGCCGTGGGGTCCTGACAGCGGAGCACGTGGCATCCCCGGGACTGTCGGAACCAGGACGCCGAAGCCGCGGCGTGGACGGGCCTGGCGGCTCCGTGCTAAGGGCCGGCGAGTCCCCCACGTCGTCCGGAGGGTCTGCCTGCAGATTGCGAGCGCTCTGGACGGGGCAGCAGTCCGGGGGCACCTGTCCTGTCCGTGGCACCTGTCCCCTCCGCCCCAGGGCCGGCCACTCGCCCTGCTCCTGCTGTCCGGCCTCGCCCGTAAAGGCCACCCCGGCGTTGTCAGCCCCACCGGCCACTGTTTGCTAGCCCGGCGAGCCCCGCTCACTGCGTAAAGCACGCGGAGTGGGACCCTGGAAAAACCAGTTTATTCAGAGATTACATTAAAAGCATAAACAGTTAATACACCAAAACCAACGGAAAAAAACAAAATTTACTGTACTCCCAGTAACATGAGCTCGAGCTCAACAGCAATGAAATCATGACCGAGGCATTGAAAAGACAGTTTCCTCCTTACATGGTGGAGGACTGCCTTCTGTCAGCACGACTCAGCAACCCTAAAAACAAACGGCCTGAAGCCTTTCCACTACTATCATCTCTCAAAGTTCATAGTTTCCAGAGGCATGTGGTTTAGGAAGTGGATGCCACTCCTGCTTCCATAGTTGATGTCCAATATTCAAACCCATCTGTACAAATTGACAAGAGGCTTAGTCTCCACTAAGGCTCATTCAGGCTTCCCCCAAACCTCGCGGAGCATCCATCCACCTTAACGCTGCTGGAAACACGCTGATGCCAGACGCCACTGGGTGTGCAAACCCCGGCCTGCTGAGGGGCTTCGGGTGTGTTCTGGTTTGGGGTGCTTCTCACCACCATGATTTTGTCAGCACTGTTGCAAACTAACGACTTCTCAAGTTCACTGCTTGTTGGACGCTGTCGTGCAGGACTGTGACAACCCAGGGCTGATCCTGAGGTTTCCAGAGGTGGCTAATCGGACAGGCGGCTTTCTCCTGCAGGGCAGCTGGTGGATTCAAACCGCGTATCTCAGCACTCGCAGCACAATTCCTTACACTTACTAGGCCCCGAGAGCTCGCTAGAGGAGGCAGCATGGACTGGAGCTTCCTGGTCTCCCTCTGCCGTCTGCTGGCCTTCTCCAGTCATAAAAAACCAAGCACCCCCACCAGGCACAGATGAGTCACGCTAGCCCAAGCTGTTTTCAAACATTCATATTACAGAGACGACAACACAGGGAACAAAAAAAAACTGACGCCACTTTGTCCCCATGATACAATAGTACATAAAAACAGACAACACATTAAATAACAATCATTAAATATATTAACACACAAAAAAAAATCATGTATAAATTAGGAAATAAATGTACACACTATGTTGCAAAGTGCTTTTTAAAAAATATATATACAACTTTCAAGAAATTCTTAATGTAAGACATTTCACATGGAAGTTCTGGGATAGTTCGTTTGTGGTTTAAGTTATTCTTTTTTCTTTTCCAAAACGTATTAATTACTGTAGCACTTGGTAAAATAAAAAAAAAAAACCAAAAAAACAAACCCACACTAAAGGTAGATTTCCAAACTGGCACAGAATAAGAAGAAAGGGCATCTCCCCAGTTGTCTAGATGATTGAACATTTTCAATGGGAAAAGCCAGTCTCCAGTTACATCTGCACATTATTTATAGGGGGAAGTTTTCAGGGAGAAAAGGACAGTATCAAGGGAGAGGGCTCCCTAACTGATACTGTTAATGTCTTCATCTTTCAGTAATTAGAACTCATTTCCACAGATTCAATAAGGATCTATTTCAAGCCCTTGCCAGTATGAAGGGTTTTATAAACCCATGTACCAACAAAATGCACACTCCCATCCTTGGACATGGGGAGTACGTTTCAAAACACAACCAAGTGGTGCTCGGGCAAGGTGAGCCTCTGCCAGCCTGCTCTCCATGTACGACTGGAACGGTCACTGCTCCTGTGCCCCAGTGTCCCGCCAGGGCTACCTGAAGATCTTCATAGACCTCTCTCGCAAACTACAAAGCACAAGCTGGCTCTGGACTGAGAGGTACTTTTCAGTCATAAATAAAGCCTGTAGTGGAAAGGTGTTCTCTTCGGCAGGCCTGACAGGCCCCGGAGTCGATTTCCCCCCCTTCATTCCCTGGGTAAGTTAGTTCTTGGAAACATCTTAATGTCTATCTGAAGCGCTTATATTTTAAAAGGATTCAAAGACAACACAGATGTTACATCTAAGTGAAGGCGATCGCATATTCGCTCTCCACCCTAGTGGACGTCGTGGGTGTCTTATGACCACAGCCTCCTGTAAGGACCACGGAACATAAAACTTGCTCACGGTCTCCACACAAGCCCTGCTTTTCACCAGGGAAATTCTAGTTCTCGTGGCTCCTTTAAAGACAAAATGCACGCTTCACCACCTTGAAAAAGGAGTGCTCACTTGCAGATCTGAACACGTAGGTCCTGAAGAAACTGTATAAACAACTTGCCAACAGCTTGACATTTGGCTGTGAATATGAAGATTTCTCTGGATTTAGAAATGGTTCTAATGCTGGCATCCCAGCAGTGACCGTGACACGGAAGGACCAGAGCAGGAGTGGCTCCTGACGCACCGCTGGCCAGGGAACAGCTTCCTGGTGGTCAGTCCATGCTTCTGGGCTTTCACTCACCGAACGTCGGCATGTGGATTCATGTTGATGGTATGTCATTGATCCCTTTTTACTTTCCAGAAAAAGCGTGAGCTCTCGGGAAAACGGAATCAGTGTGGGATGCAGCTAACAAGCTCCGGAGATGACCGTTCATGACTCTCCAACAGCGCTGCGTGCCCATGAAGTGCCCGTGGGACAGCGACTGTCCTGAAAGAGAGGTACCCCCTCCATGGCACAGGGGGGCTCCTTTACAACTGCAGCATCCAGTAGAGGGGTCAGCCGGGTGAGCAGAGTTCACACCCTGCGTCAGCTACATGGACACTCAGCCTTTCTGCTACCAGGCAGAGCACCGAGGACAGCTAGCTGGGCCGTGGAGGGAGGGGGACAGCAAACACACGAGCACTCTGTGTTCACACACTGTACACTGTACTGAGGGTCCCACATCCCGGCACAACCTGCACCAGGGTGCACGCTGGGCGTGGTATCCAGCAGGTAAGGTGCTCTTCACACAGATGCTGCGTCAGACGGAGGGGGCACCCACAGGTCACAGCTCAGAACTGCCGCCAGCTCATCTGCTTCCTTGATGGGCACTTGAGTCCTTTACTGCTGGTAGTTCCCGTACTGGCCCTGTGACAGAGGACATAGGAGAGAACAGAGTTAGAGAGGGAGGTTCACCCACTTAGGGCCCATCACCTGCAGAGTGAGAGTGAGAAAAGCCCCACACCCAGGCCAAAAATCGCGGCGACCAGCACCTGACAATCTGGGATTTACATGCAGGGTGGGGACAGCCTCTCAAGAGGCCCACTGGGCAGGGAGATGTGGTGCTTGCTGGGGCATGAGGTCCCTACGTAAGTGCCTGCAGTCAGCCCTCTCATATCATTCCCAGTGGAGAGCTGACCACCCCTTCGCCCCAGTGACTGGCACCAGGCGTGCTGATGTCGGCCAGTGTCACGTTTGAAGTAGCAAGGATGAGGCCTGTGCCCAGAGAGGCTGCAGGAGGGCCCGGGTCCTGGATGCTCACCCAGACCACCTGTGGGGCATGCTGGGGGGTGAGGGGCTGACTGAGGCTCTGCTCCTGTTGTTCGCTCACATCGCTTGCTCAGGCCCACAGGCCTTGGAAGCCCAGGCTCCTGTACGTAGCCAGCCTTGTTTACTCAGACTAAGGGCCCTGCCTCTCACTGGGGGCCAGGAGTCCTCTCTGCTGCTGCCTGGGCTCGTGGGCAAACCCTTCGTGAATGTCTCTGTTGCGATTCTGAGCTGCAGGTCTCCTTCGCTCTCGTGGTTCCTTAGGCAGGTTAAGAGCCTGCCCCTTGTCTGCTACTGGGCACCTAAAATGAGGACAGATTCCCCAGCTCTCAGGACAGTCCAGGCTGCCAGTGAGTACAGTGGGTGTGCCTGCATCCTGAGCTCAGCCATCAGTGCTACAGGGACAGGGGAGCCGCCAGGCAGGTGGACAGGACAAGGGGGAGGTGCCAGCAAACAGGGGAGAGGGACAAGAGAGCCACGCCCACAGAGCCGTGGTGTGGAGTGCATCTCCAGAACCAGGAGTGTGGCCCCTGTGGGCTCAGAGCTGACATCCTAGGAGACTCGGGGCCCATGACCCTGGCCGTAACCATGAGTGCTAGCCCTGGTCTCTGCAGACCCAGGGAGGCTTGCCTGCTCGTAGCCATATGGCCTCTGCGGCTGTGCCGATGGGCCCGTCTGAGACGACCGGTAGCTTCCGTACTGCTGGCCTTGCCCCTGCTGGTAACTGGAGTACTGGGAAGGTGTGCCCTGGGCGGGCCCTGCTGGGGGACACAGAGCTCGTCAGTCCTGCCTTCCCGCGACCTGACAGCAGCTTGTCCCCTCACCCTCTCGTCAGACGGCCAGGCCTCTGCAGGCCCCTGTGAGGTGAGGCCGACTCCTCCATCCTCAGCACGTGGAGCCCCCACTTCACACCTACCCATCCTGCACAGAGGCGAGGCATGTGAGACCAGGCTGCATCGTCTTTGTTCTAGGACCAAATTCTGCCAGAGAGAATGGCCACCCTGACACACCACTCATTTAAAATTCACCGGATGCAGCAAGAGCCCCTGTGAACGCAGCAGCAGCTTTGGAAAAATCAGTCACAGCAAGACACCCGCCGGAGACCACGGAGTCCCCACACACAGCTCCCCTTCCGTAGCGCTGGACGCCAGGGGCTGCCCAAAGAGAAACACCTCGCCTGCAGGATCCCCTGAGATGCCCGGGCACGTGGCACCTGCCCCAGCTGGCCCCCAGGCTCCTCCCCAGAGTCTACATGCCTGTCCTCACCTGGTGGGAGCTGGGCATGGGGGGAGGCCCTGCAGGGGGTGCTTCTGAGGGAACCTGGGATTTGCTGGCAGAGACCAGAAGAACTGGACAGTGCCCGCCAGCACTGCTGATCTGAAACAGGCTCCAACCCAAAGTCCCAGACTGGTGGGAGGCAGTGGAGGAGGAGGAACAAAACTCAAGCTCACAAAGTAGACCAGACTTACTGGTTTAAAGAAACTCGGGGAAGCTGAGACCACAGCCCTTAATCTCTCATCAAGCCCAGAACCAAAATCATCCTGTGACTCGAACTTCAGTCAAACAAGAGGCCTCTTAGAACACTCAGCCCCCTGGAGAATCCCCCAGGATTCGCCCAAGAGGAGGTTCAGGAGAGGCCAGAAAGACAAACGGAAAGGGCTTCCCAGGGGCACAGCGGACAAGGTGCTATTAACTACGTCATGACGTCATGGGGACTGCCACCAATGTCACAAGGTAAACCATGTCACCTGCTGAGTGGAAGACTGCCTGCTTAGTAAACTTTCATTCAAATGATGATAGAAGATTAAAAGACGCTGTAAAGGTTAGCTGCTCAGGTGACCGCACGTGGGCCCGGGGGGTGGGGTCCCCTACCGTAGCCCTGCTGTTGCCCAGCGTAGCTCTGCTGGTTGGGGTACTGCTGCTGGGAGTAGGTCTGTGGCTGGGCCGTGCCCTGCTGGTAACCGGCCTGCTGCTGGCTGTACTGTGGGTTCCCTGGAAGCAGAGGACACAGCAGGTCAGGCTGGCCAGGAGAGGGGGCAGGAAGCAGAGACCCAGGGTTCAGAGCAGGCAGCCCAGTGACCTGAAGCAGCATGTGGGGCAGTGGGGAGAAGTGGCCAGCAGAAGAGGCTCCCTCACGTCCCAACATGAGCTGTCACGTCCCCGGGCCTACCTGCATTTGGCTAGCACCCGAGGCCGCAGGGGCCTCATCCCGGCTTACCACCCTCGTAGTAGTGTTGGGCCGGCTCCTCGAATGACCGCTCATAGCTCTGGTCTGTGTAGGACGACTGCTGGTAGGCGTAGTCGCCGTGGCCTGCAGACAGAAGGCGGGCGCAGCAGTCATCACTGGTCACCAGGTCAGGAGGAAACCATCCCCTACACTGGCCGTGCCCACAGGTCAGCGCTGTCACAGGCAGGTCCTGTCGCACCACCAGTGTGAGCGAGGCACAGTCAGGTCTATGGAGAGAGGCCCGAGTACCTCAGGCAGAGCTAGAGTCTGACCCTCATCCGAGCTGGGCAGAGGCTGTCCTGACCCACAAAGTGTCCCTGGCCGTTCCTGCCCCGAGTCACAGCCTGTCCCCCTTGTCCAGCAGTGAGCTCACGAGGGTCTGTGCAGCTGCTGCGGGGAATTGCCGAGCCCAGCATGGGCGTGATGGCCAGGGACAGGCCTATCAGGCTAGTGAGAAGCCCTGTCCAGCCCCTACCTCACAGACCGGGGCCCAGTGTCCACAGGGAGTCTCTCCCCGAGGAGTGGGAGGAGGTCGACGGGGTCGCCCTTCCACAGAGGTGGACACTGCGGACAGGGCGTGCGTCAGAGCTCCTGGTCTGGACAGCCGGGCGCGGGCGGGCCCAAGCGCTCACCGTCGGGGTAGTACTGCTGGCTCATGGACTCGGCGGCGGCCTGGCCGTGGCCGTACTGCTCGCTGTAGTACTCGTCCTGTCCCATGTACTGTTGTGATGAGCCTGCAGGTCACACTGCGTCACTGCCCGATGGCACGTGCGGTGCCCTCCCTCCCCACAGGGACATCAAGACAGACCTCAGGGTAGAGGTGTGACTAGAGGGACCCACGGAGATGAGGGAGCAGCACGCTATGGTGTGACCCAGAGAGAAAAGAGACAGAGCATGCTGTGGTGTCCCCCAGAAGGGTGTCCCCTAGCTGGGAGGCCTGTTAGGGGTTACAGGACCCAGGACATGGGGGGGGGTCGGGTCTGTGGTGGGGTGTCACCTTGCTGGGAGGCCCGGTATGGTGCCATGGGCCGCTGGCCCATCAGGCCACTGCCCTGGCCCCCCTGGCCCATCATGGCGATGGAGGACTGGCCCTGGTAGTGCTGGCTTCCGCCCTGCGCCGAGTTGTAGTGGGACGAGGCTGCCTGCTGGTGCATCATGGACACTGCAGACAGGAAGGACCCGCGTGGCCACAGAGGGCGGCACTGAGGTGGCTCCCCCCTTCTCCTACGGCCTCACTTGGAACCTCATCAGCTGTCACAGGCCCATCCAACGCGCTGCACTTGTCCTGCCTGTGACCACAGCTCACAAGACATTCAGCCAACAGAGCACTGCTCGTCACGTCCACGCGGTCCACGCAGCTCGACAAGGTGGCTGGTCCCAGACAGACATGTCTGCCTCCTTCCCCAACGCTGGTCCTGTGACCCCCAACCCTCACCCCGGCCACCCTGTGATCCCCCCAATCTTCACCAAGGTCACCCTGTGACCTGCAGCCCTCACCCCAACCATCCGGTGACCCCCAACCCTCACCCCGGCCACCCTGTGACCTCCAACCCTCACCCCGGCCACCCTGTGACCTCCAACCCTCAC